TTATGTGAAACACTAAGGATTTGCAAAACAGTATTAGCAAACAGATTTTGACTTTATGTTGCCAATTAGTGGTATTCTGAAACTACCTGTCACATAGCCAGCCATGAAATGCATTTGAAAAACCAGTTGTCCGTTTTTCACAATGAAATTCCTGAGCATGCTCAGCGTACCAGCCCTGCTGGGAATGACGTACTTTGGGCTGAAACAGCTGCGGTGTGAAGAAGGCAAAGCTTCGTAAACCCCTGCCCCGAGATTGGACTTCTGCAGAAAGACCAAGTAAAGCAATTTGAATAGATCAGCAGGAGAAACGGTTCTGACAGCCTTTCCGACGATACCCCGATGCTGTGACGTGTGGAAGTGGGCGCCTCCGAGAGGAAGATGGTACACGAAGAACTGCACTGAGTATCTTCCCTGACCGCCGCACCTCCTTCATATCAGACGTGCTTTACACCTCCCATACGTTACGTTACACTTCTGTGATTGTACTCACTCATGCTAGCAAATGGCTTATTTTTATACAACATTTCCAACTGAAATATCTCTCTGTGGACAGAATCCAGAATCAGAAAAGGACAGATTTATAGTCAACTGGTGCTCAGTACTAAAAAAAAACCACACAAATGAAACAAAACAGCGACAAAAAAAATCACAAGGCCGATTATGGCAATATTTGCAAAAGTAGGGATCTGGAAGCACAAAATAAATTGCCATCCACCATCACACAAGGGTCACATACCTAACGTGGAGCTGTAGTTCTCTTAAAGCCAGTCTTGTTTTGACTCGGAAACTCTTAAGTTTTGCATCATCAAAGCAGCATGGTTCTGCCAAGCAAGCTCTGCCACCCCTTGTTACTCATTTACTAACCGTGTTATAAGCCCACATTTAGGAGGAAGCGTTAAGAATTTTGGACAAGCCTACTCTTTATGGGTCTGGAATTTTTGCAAAAAGATGTTAAAACCCTCTACTGCCATTGTCCGATGAAAGCAGGCCACCTTTTGTTTAGATGGTTTTTCCCCTGTTACTTTAAACTATTATTAAAATACCGATTCTGTAGCTGCCCTCTATCTGTGTAATTTTCTCTATAACGAAGCCCGCTGTCTGCAGGAGGTTACTGCTCCTTCCGTGAATCAGTATCGACTCTGACTTGCAGGGCTTCCTAACTCAGGAGACAGCACCGTGTTTGCAGGTGCGAGGTTATAAATAGCATTTTGCTAAACCCTGTTTATTGCTGTTTAGCATGATTCACGTGTTAATCACAATTTAGTTTCTCCCACATTAATTTATAGAATACTGTTGTAGATGCTGAATTTTAATTAAACTCTTTCTAGGTGCATCAATACGGCCACATAGAACAAGGGACAGAGTATTAGACGGTCAACAATTCCTTAATGCCAAATGATTACAATCAGGCAAAATAAAAAAACCACGTTTAAGACTAATATTTTCAAAAGCGATGAGCTGTACTGAATATCCAAGGTGCAGTCTAGGCGGGGGGTCTATCTTCTGGAAAAGGGCTGGATACCTGCCTGTGGAAAATCGGACCTCTGCAGGTTTTCTCACCTTGGTTACTCAACTCGGAAATCTCTTCTGGAAATCTTAGCCGATATGTATCGGCCTGCTAACTCAGCAGAACAGTTGAGCAAATCTGTCTACTTCAAAAGAGTTGTAAAGTTATTTTATTTTGTGGTTTTATACTTGTACGACATTCTGAAGTTGCTAGGCATTGCCGTATTTGAATATATGGCACAACATTCACCTTTGTATGTAAGATATCTGTAGAATTGTATATTATACATTTAATATTGTAAAGAACTTAACGTATAATTGTCACGTATTTGTGTATGCACATTTCTTATACAGTACTTCATGCCATAAACATTTCTGTAAAGTAAATGATCAAAAACAAGAAGTAGGGTGGAACACTCACTGTATCTCCCGTGTTGTTTGAAAGAGGTGAGAACTTTTGATTGCGTCTCCTCCGGCCTTTTGCTCCGTTCAGCTTGATGTAGCCATGTCTTACAAAAAGAAAAAAAAAAAAGTGTTTTATTTATTACTTTCATACATTGAGTTCACTTTAAGTTCAGCGTATCCTTAAATAATCCGTTCAGCTTCATGTTTCTGTCCTACGAACACTTTTGTCCTGCCCTCCTGAACAGGGAGCGTTCGCGCGAGCAGCGGCTGAGCGCTCGTCTCTCAGCGCATCCTCTCCGTTCGTTACCTCTCAGCCAGGGGAGAAAGGCGAACACCTCACCTTTACGTTTAAACACAGGGGCCCGGTTCTGCCACTCGCGCTCAGGCCAAGCCTCCCCCGAGGGCTGTCTGCAAGCGGGACCAGACGCCGAGTACCTGCCGAGTGCTGAGCACACCCAGCTCCCGCCGAAGGCGCAGGCAGGCAGCGCGCTCAGCCTGGAAGCAGGATGGTGCTTTTAGATGTGCGCAGAACGCCGCTGGAAGTAGCTGTGGTTGGCTGGTTGGTTTTTCTTCAGTTTGGTGTTCTCCGTACTTTTTTTTATAGCTCAATAAAGCAGGTCCAGTACTTCGGGCAGCTTGCTAAGGTGGCATCGTAAAGGGTTCCAGGCTGCGCCAGCCGAGTTAAATGTGAACTTGAGATGGAAAGTGTGAGCCATGACATCACAACATTGACTGCAAAATAGCACTAAGGCGAGGAAGACATGTGGAAACAATCACTTTGTTAGAAGAAATACGCCTTTTAAAAAAAAAAAAAAAAGTTAAGCTAGGACATGTTCCTTTAGTTAGTAACTGCAGGTCACTTATTTAAAGTTTATTACAGTTTCATTTATATCTTTTTTACTTCTGTCCCTGTATTTTTAGGCAGCAATATCAGCACAAACCGATTTGAATTTTTACTTCTGGCCTTAAACCATAGCAACATAACTTAATTAAGAACACTGCTCAGCGTCGCTAAAACAGGTTTTAAAATATCACAGAAACTCCAGTACAGCTGTGGTGCGCAGCCAGCTAATGTTTTTATTATGAAGGCCAAAAAGTAAACGTAGCCTGGTTTTTCACCCAATTCGATTGAACAAAATTGTTCCGATCCTCTGTTGCTGAGCACTGAAACTGTGGCTTGAAGAACACGAGTCTTCGCTAGCACTTTCTGTACAGCCCTGTGACACCCTGTGCTCCCAAGTCTCGGGAAGAAAGCGAAAGAGAGAATGTTATGTTGTGCTTATTGGACTAATCGCTTTTGAGAAAAAAAACTGTTGAGTGCATTCATTCACTGTATTAATAGCATCGAGGTTTGCTGACAATTTTACTAGATGTTTGACAAAGGATAAGAATCAGCACAACAAAACATTGGGGTATTTGGTTTTAATATTTCTTTGTGGGTATTCTGTTAATAAAAAATGCAAAATGTTTCTGAACAGTGCTTAAGAACTACAAGACAATGTGAAATTCATGTTTGATAAATTAATACTGTATGTCACTCGATGTGTTACTTTAGTAAATTGTTTTATTTCTTTACAAAATAAGTACAAATAAGGGAGTATGTTTTCACACAAATTGGGGGTATTTACGAGTATGTACAGAAATCATCAAAATAACGTAATTCTAATAAACACAAGGCCTTTATAAACAATATGTACAAATTATCAATACATTTAAAACGTAATTTTACACTTCCTGGCCTTAAATACCTTATGAATAATCTTTTGGCTAAATAGCAGCAGTATAAATTTTCTTCTGCTTTTCATAAACCTTAAAAAATAATTAAAACTTTTGTTTTTAAAACTATTGGACAAATAGTTCTATTTGTGCTTTCGCTATGGTTTCCCATCAGAAAAAAAGTATTGCCTCAAAAAAGTGGCAAGCATAACATAGCAAAAATTGAAAAGATAAATAAGCAAATGTCGCCCTTCCATGGTTACTGATAATACTGTTATGTCTGAAGTACAACAACTTGTGCCCCCCTGCCTGCTTAGTATTCCTGGCCAATACCCCTTTAGAAGACTCGCACTGACTTCGCTTGGCTTTGGTGTGGGTCCCTTAAATTCCAATTCAGCAAAGCATTTAAAAAGCATTCATCCCACCTTTAAGTACTTAAAACTACTCATTACGCGTAAAGTCATGCGCTTGTTCATGAGCCTCTCCGGACTGGAGTCCTCGAGTCCAACTGTCCAAGGCAAAGGCATCGCCGGCCCCTGCGGTGCGGTGCTGCCCTGACCACCCGCCGGCACCGGGCCGCCAGGGCTCACCCCTGCTCTCGCGATTCTCTACGAGTGGAACCGGCCCCCAGAAACTTCCTTTACAGTGACTTTAAAAATCCATATAGAACACTCTAAAATCTTCACTGAACAATACTCTCTTTTAAAACCACCATTAAACCATACTCTTTGCAATAAATAAATTAAGATATCTTTTAGAGAATAAAACCCAACTTTGATTCATGTTACTAACCAGCTGCTACAAATGTGCAAAAGATTGAAGAGACTTAGAAAACAACTGGAAGCCAGTCAAGGTAACTCAGCTGGGACCCGAACGCACAGATTTCATACACTTAGGATTTGGTTCAGCAAATGGCTCAGGAAATGAGCTGTGCGATAAAAGCAAAAATCCTAAATAGATAAAATCTGCGAGAGTGTGCAGTGGCTATTCTCTTAGCTGTGCAAAAAATTGCAATTATAACTAATCTAAAACAACAACAGGTATCACCATGGTTAGTCAGTGGAAACAGTGCTAGTAAAACTAAAAAGAAAACCAAATCAGCACCGTAAGTGAGCATACAGGTTACCACCATGGTTAGGTCCCAATCCTGCCAACCCCTCCCAATCCTGCCGTGAGATGGTTTAGGTGAGCCATTGCAGCAGTCTTTCCATTTGCGTAACTTCAACGCCATCTGCATCAGCCTTATCTAAAATGGCCAAATGGAGCAAGACTTTGATGTTGGTTACATCTGTGGACTTAACATTTTAAGACCTTTTGCACATTTTTTGTGTGTTTTTGTTTTTGTTTTTTGTTTGTTTTTTTTTTACATAAAGGGAATTTATTGCATGTGTCTGACAATTTTACAAAACAAAATTACTGGAACATTGACTTCTGAAAAAAATAGAAGGCACATTAAAATGACAGCTTTTCAATGCAAGTTGAGCTTCTGTATGGAGAAATCAGTACAATTCTTGGCTTTATTTAAGCAGAGCTCGATAGAGCAGGAGAGAATGGCTCGTTTCTCTTTCCTGTTCCATGTAGAAGATGAAGTCCCTGAGGTTTACGCGAGTTATTTTCTGTCGTGCATACTGCCTGGGCGAAGGAGTCCCCAAGCCAGCCTGACTTCCACCGGACATACCGAGGCCCTACAAAGAAAACACAGCAAAGTCAAAAGTCCTGCCACAGTGAAGAGTTTCCTCATACTCTCAGGTTTACAACTACTAACTGCCGGCCTGTTTTAAACATCTTAAACGGATTATTTTGAGCCTAATTCTGAAAGTATTACATGGAATTTTTTTCTTTTTTTTCCTATTCTTTGGAGTCTCACCAAGTTAACCTGTGTAAAGAAACTCAAGTGAAAACACACATGACGCTAGACCTTGCTCATTGGCAACTTGGGACAAATATGTCTGACTAATTCTGCTACAGTCACGTTAACCGTAGACATATTTGACCAGTTTAATTTCAGGAGCCTTTTAAGGACAAAACTATTTGCAGCAGATAAAGCCATCTTTAGTATATCAAATGTGTGCACCATTCTACTCTACATCCTGGGTCTAGGACTGGAAAGAGGTGAGTGGTGTATCGGGATGTTGCTACTGCAATAACCTCCGCAGCTGCAAGTGCCGCGGGGACCCCCATTCTCTCCTCCGGGTCTACTGAAGAGAAAGGCTCAGTGTGGGGAGACACTGAACGATCTTGCTCGAGTACACAACCCACGCTCAGCTGAGAGACGGAAAAATCATAAAGACTCAGACATTGTGCGATGATAAAGACAAGCATTAATATACTGTTTTCTAAAGTGATGTTAAATATTTTTTTTTTTAATCGGTTCAGAGCTACTGAATTACTGAATACTTCATCCTGGCTTTCCTTCATCCTTTCTCTCCTAGAGAGAAAATTCACAAACTGGGCCTGAGAACACTGTGATCTGAATATTTAGAAACTGAAAGGACGCTCTGCGGTCCTGTTGAGTTTAAAACTGAAACCTGATACACACACACACACACACACTCAACCCTTTTTTCATCCTTAGGAGACCATTGTTTTTATTAACTCCAATTGATTTCTGACAAAATAAACTGTTCTAACTTAGAAAAATAGCTTTTAATCTCTAAAAAGATTTAAATCATTTTTCAAACATCTAAGAGATCTGGCAAAGTTTTCAATACTTTTAAAATCCCAAATTTACTTACTGCTTTACTTACTTAATAACCTACCTTTCTTTCCCCAGGAAATACTTATTCTAGGATCCTGATTCTATAGCTATTAAAAATACAGTTAAGCATAATTTTACTACGGAAAGATTGTAGGGGAAACATACATGGTATATTCCGAGTAAGACGTAGCACTGTTTTCTCTGTTGCTTTTCGCTCTGTGTACTGGCAGTCAGACTCCTTGCAGAACTACACCATTCAAGTTATTTCTCCTATATCTGATTATTAAATTACAGTAGTGGGGCAAATCCTATTCTCTTGTAACTGCAAACACAAAAGGCTTAATGTAGTGAAATGAATGTGGCTAAGCTTGCAGGCAAGAGAGGGAGAAGCCCACAACCTTCGAGCACCATGAGCATTTGATCTGAGGGATTCTGTTCTCCAGTATGGAGTAGTTTTTGTTAATAGATTAATTCATCTACCACCTAACCTCACTGCTCATAGCAAAAGCACGTGCTGCAGCTGCAAGGGTTGCTCATCCGTGCTGAAGCCAGACACATCCCCAGTGCACAATCCATTTATTTAGCGGTGCTCCGAATTCAGCCTTTACGCCAAAACGCTTTGCATTCCTAAAAGAAATAGCATCATTGAAACTTGTACTCTTCATCTTCCACGGGTCTGGAATGATATCCTACCTTAAGCTACCCCTTGCCTGCACTCTGACCGTGCATCCACTTTGCCAGGGCTGTTGCCACTATTTCCGACTCTCCGAGGAACCACTGTTTATGTTTTTATTTTAAATCGAGCTGACTCAAAAATATTTTTCTTTCTTCTCTGTTCCCCACATGGTGCATCTCTCCCCCCACCCCAACTAATACTTATTTCAGATTCATCCTTACTACAGTTTCTGCACACTGACAAACACACGTGTAAGAAACGTGGCCACCTTAAACTCATTAAAAAATACTGTCCATAGCATACCAGACTAGAACCGTCCTGCACACAATTACCAAACAGTACTAGAAAAGCTACGTAATCTTTTAAATTTTTCTTCATATAAAACCGTTTCTTGAATCAGTTGAGGTACATTTACAGCAAATAACTGCTTTCGATTTGGACAGAGTAGCTGGAATTAAGATGTGGTAAGTCATACTCATTGCATTTATCACTTGAGATACTGAACTTCTACGTAGGAAGAGCATATACTTAATGCAACATCATAACATGACGTTACGCTGTGCACATTCATAACTGCACTTATGAGCCAATCAGTTACCTGCTAATGTTCTGTAATTGTTTTACAAGGTGGAAAAAACCATAAGAACGATTTTAGAAAGTACAGAAGCACATCTGTAAACTGACAGAACAGTTATTTGTATCCGTCAATATGATCGCTAATTTAAATTAAAGACCAATTTGTTTGGCACTGCATTGTACTCAGAATTATTCTGCAGATGCTATATCAGAATGTAGACTACTAAATGCCACAATTTTTTAATTATATACATGAATGCAAGCATAGTTAAAATTAATTGCCAAGAATAGTGGAATTGAAGTAATGCAGATTTTTCTCAAGAAAAATCACATTTTTTATCAGCATGACAGACTTTTCATTAACCCAAACAAGCCCTGTGTTGTCTGTATCTATGGCAACTAATAAGAGTTGCAAAGATAAAAGCTCCAATAAAAAAATAAATGGTTGTAAATTGTTTACATCCTTTATTTCCTGGCCTGTCACGCCCAAGGTATTACCAAATCACACCCACTCAAATATACATCAGTACTAGTTTTTGTATCAGCAAACTTCGTAATTTAAGGGAAATGTAAGATGTTCCAGACCAGAAAAAAACATTTACTTTATATATGAACCCTGCCTTTTCATTTTGAGATGGCTTACATACATGAGTTATAGCAACTTCTTATCCCCTTCCATCTTCTCCTCTCCTTCTCCCCACTGCCTCTTCTCCCTTGCTGCTTCAATCCTACTTTTTTGTAACACACCAAGGCGACTGGTGACCACTTTGAAGTTGGTAGCTGCAAATCCCATAGGATAGCAAGGAAGACAGCAGAGAGCAAACAAATTATTTTGTGCTCCACCTGTTCCTCGCAGGGCTACAGAGAGGTGTGCTACAACGGGGCTTTCCTGAGACCCCCACACAACTCCCGCTCCCAGCCGGAACTGAAGAGAAAGTCAATTCACAGAAAATCAAATGCAGGAATTTGCAAAAATGCCACGGTGCCATGCCCTCTGTTAACCTGTAACCCAAGACCCACTGAAACACTCAAGAGTCTGTCTACTTTAATGGGCTTTAATGCACTTCAGATACACACAGCTGAAGTACATAGAGCTTACAGTATTTTAAATAACAGTGTTGGACTGTCAAGTTTAATTCAACTGTTGGGACGCTACCTAGCTTGAAATTATGGCTTAAGAAGAAGAATCAGAGAATTATTGGTTCAGTATGCACATTTTGAAGCAATTCTGAATTTATGTCAGATGTGACACAAGATTTGGTCCAGCCATCTCAGCCTGTTTGCTATTTTCATGATTGTCCTCTATGAGAAAACTCATGCTGTTGGAAAAGCAGAATAAAAACGGTTCAAAATAAAATACTGACCAAAGACTTGGTAGATCATTAGGAAACTATACAACAATCTGCCAGAGAAACATGCTCTCACAGTCACAGAGTAGAAATTAAAACAAATAGTCCTGTGTACAGAGAATATTATAGAGAATATTAAAGAATACTTATCACAATAAACCCAGCTCCTCTACAGAGCATTCATCACCTCTTACCTCCTCCAGAAATAATTCTCAGTCAGCTGTACTACCCTCACAAACTTCCCACCGCCTCCCAAACCTTCACCTTTTTCAAAACAGTCTCAGAACTACTCCATGGTTGGCTCTTCTCCCATCCTCACTTACCAGCCAGGCAAGCATCATCCCATGGGGTGGCTGACCCACCAGGCTGCATGTGCTCATCAGTCACCCAGCAGACATGTGGCCCCCAAGCCAAACTTACCCCAGAGCTTGCTCAGCTCACCCAGCAGCCTTTCTTCACTGGAGAGACCAGCGTGTCTCTCTTTCCTGTACCTAAGCCAACAGTTCACATGGAAGTTGTAGGGACTTAAAATCTCGAGCTCCTTCCTACCTCTGTCCCCCTTCTGCTGCCCCCCCCCGGATTTGATCAGTATTTCCTGAAAGGTTTAAAGGCTACTGGAAAAGGGGACTGAGAGAGACAGACACACATCATCCAAAATCTTCATGGACAAACTCTCCTACTGCTCAGACAGTAAAAATGTCTCTGTGCATTAAATTACAGTAATTACAGCAGCAGGTGTATGAAAATTAAACTGAGTAACACTCATAAGTGTGCTGTTCCTTGCTCGAGAGAGAAGTGCTTTCACTTAAGAAAGAACATGTAATATAAAATCTACACTGATTTTTATAACAGTGATTTTGACTGTTGAACAATTAAATCAATTTTTTTCACAAATCAGTATACCTTCAGCTTTGAATTATAGAACCATGGAAATACAGTGCAATATTCTTGTCAGGAAACACAAAGATAAGGGCAAACAGAAGACTGCATTAAATATTTTATCCATCCTTCCTTCACCAGAAAACAATTCAGTCCTGACATCTCCTTTGAACATAGTCTTGAACTGCGGCTATTGCTTCTCTGTGACCCAGAGAGACAAGGCAATAATGATAAAAGATCTGCTGGTTTTCTTCCCAGGCTACATGGCACATCTTTGTGGCAGACTTACACTTCAATCTGAAGTGTGAAAGTGGGAATCATACAGTAACAATTCAAAGCCAAGCTATCTATGGAGTGAAAAAATACCAGGAATTTTTTTTTCTCTCCAACCTCCATGCACTGAGGAGGAGTGGGAAGATAAGGTATCCATTAGTCTGCTCTTATTCATAAGAGGTCTTGGATCATAAGAAATATTCGGGAGATACTCTGTAGCAATGATGTTTACTT